AGAATTAACAGAAGGAAAAACCTAGAAGCCCTCTAGAGAAATCCAAAACGGTCATGTACAGCAAGTTCATGCCCTAAAAGTGTTCTTTATTCTGGTAAAAAAAAAGAAAACTAAGCAGTGACCTAACCCAAAACTATCAGAGGAAGAAAAGCAACATTAATGAAAGACTGAGAAGAAAGAAAAATATGACTCCCTTGGCCAGATAAAATGGGAAATCTCTGCAGCTGGAATACTCCTGTGTCAGCCACAAAGCGTCAGTCTACTCATCACATAACCAAATTTCTGAACCTAAACTGAATCCTGTTGGCCAAATCCAGCCATCTCTGTTCTCTTTGATAAAATACTGTTCCACATAAGAGTGACTGACTTTAGTACATCTTAATAGAACATAACACAAATTATATTGGTTAATTTAAAATTATTTCTTCATAAGAAGGAAACATTTAAAAAGTTGCAAGATTAAAATGCAATTATATATGATATATACTAAAATATATATTTTATGTAAATTATATAATATATTAAAATACATTTATAATGCCTACAATTACATGTTTTTTGTTTTTTTGAGACAGAGTCTCACTATGTAGCCCCAGATAGAGTGCCGTGGTGTCATAGCTCACAGCAACCTCAAACTCCTGGGCCCAAGCGATTCTCTTGCCTCAACCTCCCAAGTAGCTGGGACTATAGGCACCCGCCATAATGCCCAGCTATTTTTCTGCTGTATTTGTCATTGTTGCTTAGCTTGCCTGGGCTGGGTTTGAACCCGCCATCCTCAGTGTTATGTGGCCGGCGCTGTAACCACTCTGCTACAGATGCCGAGCCCAATTACATGATATTTTTAAAGGTCACACTTGCAACAGAAGAGAAATAATTTGCTTTCATGTGATCCTTTACGTCTAATGTTTTGTGAGTGTCCAGAATTAATAAATCATGTAGCTTACAGATATACAATTGAAAAGGTAGCACAAGGAACTCTGGGCACAGCTGAATGAGTGAAACTAGAAAAACACATGTGAACAGTGTAAGGTACTCGCTGAGGACAAGTGACCAAGCACTTCAGCAATAAGGCTAGGAGCTGAGGGTTTTATTCTCACACTGATGATCTCTTACAGACCATAAGCAAATCACCTCTGTCTTTCTATATGTGGTTCAGAATGTTAACTATCACCCAGGAATCAGAGCTCTTCTGGAAGATAAGGAAGTATCTACAAAATGTGCTGTGGTCTTCAAGAAACTTATTACAAAACATGGAACACATTTACTAGTGGCACATAAGTCCTAAGATCCAGTAGTGTCTTGTGGTGGCTGACCTTTTGTTTTGTTTATCTAACACTTAAGAGACCTAATAGGTAATGACAAAATAGTTAATGATCCAATAAAGAAAAACTGACTTTGTATCTTAGAAGCCTAAATCTCAGTATCTGGAAGTGTATGTTTAAATTTTTTATTGGTATTTTGGCTAATAAACATTCTAACATCAAAATTTGTAAAGTGTCACTCACTACTTCTTCCACCTAAGTGAATACAGAGTTACATAAAGTTACATAAACACAGGCAAATGATACAAATCCATTTTCTTTCATCTTTGGTACCCAACTATATGGAATGTAGCAATATTTTATCAAGTAGATAATCTGTTTTATCAACAGCTAGTAAACCATTTTTGTAAACTGTCTCTCAGCTGAGAAAACAATACACTACTTATATCATAATGGAAAAGGAATGACCTCAAGATTTCCAAGCAACACAGCTATTTTTCAAATCTGAACTCCCCTGCTGATCATTAGAAACAGTTTCCAATGTCCCGTTCTTGGCCTTCATTTGTGCCAAAACTTAGACAAGTCTGCAACAAGGTTATAATACCGAAACCTCTAATATCTGCACGGGGTGCTAAACAGCCTGTCTTTCCTTTCAGTTAGCGGTCTCTCCTGAATCAAGCTGTGCTTATGTTTTAGACAGGAAGTGTGAAATCAAAGTTATTTTGTTTCTATCTCCTGCAGGCTAATAAACTACCTCAAATTCATTGCTGTAAGTACATTTACTGCTTTGTGTTTAGAAATGCTATGTTCCGAACCCTGGCCTCAGTCGAGGTGTGGCAAGCATGAGGCAGGTGGTGAATATGGCCTCTGAGGGCTCAGTGCTGGCATGGTCTTTTGTTGATTGGTATTTGCAGAATGTATTTAAAAAATCAAAGTAAGGTAAGAACTGCTTATCTGATGACATTGGCATTACATTTTTACACAATTCTCAGTGATCCAAAATGCGGATGAATGAAGGACAATTTTTTTTATTTCTTTTGACCAATGGGCGGGAAATATTAGACAGTTAAGGCAGACTAGAAATAAGACACAATTCCAAGTGGTTTTAAACCAGATTTAAGTTTTTTTTTTTTAATTCAAATTTATCCAAAGCAAAACTTACATTACGAAGGAAGAACAAAATACATTATGATATAACACACTAGGAGTTACATGAAAGCTAAATTTGTGGGCAAATGGCCTTATCCCAATCACATTCTGGGCTAATGAGCAAATCTGCAGGAAAGTTGGCGTCTCGGTGTTTGCATGGTCCACTCTGGTAATTAAACTACACATTCTTGTCTCTCGGGGGGTGCATCTGACGGATCATCTTGATTCCCTCACGCTCCAGATGTGTACTCTTGCTACTGCCAGAACACTAAATTCTCTAGTGGAAACGCTGTTCCAGCATGACTGATAATGAATTAAAAACAAAACGGTCAAGTCCTCCAACCTAACAAGCATGGATTATTCTGTAGTAAATAGTTTAGAAATATGGGAATTAAATAATCTAAAAAACACTCTTACTCTGCTGTACATTTATAAACACAATATTTACAAAAAACAAAACCTTGCTTGCAAAAAATGAGGTTTGCAGTTCATTAGTGATCATAATCTTTTATGAGCTGGTTTCTTTGGTGTACTTGCCAAATATATTTTTACAAAGGTCTAGTAATGAGTTTAAATAATAAATTTTAAAAGAAACATATAAGAATCAGTGAGAAATTTGATAATATTCTGAACATTTTAGTCAAGATTCTGGAAAAACCAATCAGTTGCTTTTCTGATAATCTGTTCTCTCATTAAGACTATAGAACGGTTCTCTGCCAAATTCAAACGTGGACCTGTGTGTTCATCACTATTCTACCAGTTACCAACTTAGGGACATTTTAGTTATTGTTAAATATGATATGTGATTGGGATTTTATTAACAACAAAAAATAAAACATTCTTTTTAAGCTTTCAGATAAATCAAACCTCAAACAATAAATAATGGAATTATACACTTCTTCATTAAATAGAAATTTCAATTCCAGGAAGAGTTCTCATAATTTTTTTCTGAAGTCACAGCAGCAACACCGAACAAAGAATTTACCTTAATCTGTTCTTTTTTACTTGGAATTCCCTGACTGAAACTTAGTGGCTTAGTTTAGAAACCTTTGCATGGTTGGGGAAAGAAAATAATTTTAAAATAGGTGAATAAATTAATACACACATATGTGGAAATAAGCCCTGTGCAAATGTAACATTAACATCACTGCTCAGAGTGCCATACCCCTGCGACCCTCCCACCTCCTTGTTCCCCTGGGCCTGAGATTTCAGGAAGAAGTAACCCTCAATTCATTTCTGGCCATACCATGTCCCTGACACTGCTAACGTGTCTTAGCCCTGGACCTCAGTATTGGTTTAAAGAATGAGAACACAGCTTAGCAACCATCTTCATAAGGGATGCTCTCTCTCTGGAGATACTTTTTGGAGATATTTTTACAGGAAAAAGGACAGACCATCCATTCTATCCATTAGGCTCCAGCTGCAATTTGGGGATGGTTATAAAACTGGCCAGCTGCCTACAAAAGAATCTGAGAGCCACAGCAGCGATCTCATGAATAATCCATTTTTCCAAAGCTGCCTATTCTTCAGAAACCTGTATACACCTTCTGGGCACAAGCAGATCGGTTTTTCTGATGCCAAAATCACTACTCTGCCTCCAAGAGACAAACTTTGTCCTTGAGAAAACAGCACAGCTGATTCTGAAAATAATAAAGCCAAAGCAGACTCTTAATTCTGCTTAATTACACTTCAAGGTGAAATCATTTTAAACTTTATAACTTAAATCTAGAAATTCAGGCAAGTAAAGAGAAGCCCTTCCTCTTACAAACTTCTAATAACAAATTTATTAATGGTAAATATTTTGAAGTTTCCCAAAGCACTTTAGAATGATACTGGGACATTTGAAAAGGTTTTCTTGGAACTAACATGATGACAGATCAAGCACAGGCCATCATCTCCTGGGGCATCATCATGGATGCCTGACGCCTTTGGAACCTTCTCTGTTATTGGCACTTTATCATATCTGTGTTTACACTGCACACATTTTGCCCAATCAACCCAGAAAACAACATAACCTGTCTTAAGAGCTTCACTGTATATAATCTTAAAATAGATAGGAAATGTTTAGAATATTAGTAATTAGCCAGACTTACAATGTGCACCCATTAGAGATTTTACCCTTAAAAAAAAATTTTTTTTTTAAAACCAGGAAGAAAAGAAACACCATGAAACCACCCCCCCCCCAAGTTATTTAACCATTAAAGCCAAATGGTTTAACAATATTTTGGGCTATTTTTAGGGAAGACTCTACCACCAGGATAAGGAATAGCGAAGTCAAAGACATAGCTTAAAATGGAAATTGCAACTGACATACTAGGGCTCTGCAATGGAAATTAAAGCGGCGGCTTCCGTTCTCACAGGCATGTCACAGCTGGCGTGGAATGATCAACAGCAAGTGAAATAATGAATAAAATACACCAGAAAGAGTATTGCACTGGAGGCACTGTTTTCAAAACAGAATACACTGGCTTTATAAAGTTATTTTCTCTCTGATTAGTTTTTTTAAAAGCACAATTCAACTACAGATAGCAGTTAAAACAAGTCTGAGGATAGTGTACTACAGCTGTTAAAAAAATAAATTAAAAACAAGAGCACACCAAAAGGAAAGCAGAGGTATTGGATTTATGTCATCTGAAAGCGATATTAATTGAGAAGAAGAACAGTATGAAACAGCCAATTTGTACTCATTAAAAATGAATGCGGTGACAGCATTACTTTAAACAATTCTTAGGGCATTTTCTAGAATAACACAGGTCCAACTCTCCCACCCTCCCCCAGGGTGAAACTGTACCTCCAAATTTTAACAAGTGCTCTGCTGGTTTATAATACCATGTTCACCAATGAAACCATAAATTTAAAAAGGGTAAATTCTCCGCTCCAAATCTGCTTCTGTCATTTTGGAAAAACAATTTTTCTAAATGCAATGTTGTATAGAAAACCTGGACCTCTTAAACTTGGACCAAGAAACCAAATTAAGACCTTAAGCATGTGGGGGTGTGTGTGTACGTGTGTGTGTGTGTTTATATATATATATATATGTATGTATATATATATAAAAATCCCTCCCCTACAATGAAAACCAAACAAATAAACAGAAAACCTAAAAGTGTATACCTGCTTTCTGACTTCACAGCAAATCAGAAATTGCATAGGATATACTTTGTGCAAGGCAAAAAGCCTTTTAAGTATCTGGAATATAACTCCTAATCTTGCTCACAGTTCTGGTATTATCAGATATCATCAAATTTGTGTTTTAAGTAGTCTTTCATGACCTTGGCAATTGGTAGTTCATCAAGTAGCTTTAGGTTTTGAAGGCCTATACATTGTCGAATTTTAATTCGGCACAGGTCCTGCAAGTTTCTGGGCTGTCCTAAAAAGACAAAAAAAAAAAAAAAAAGAAAATGTTACAAAGCTACAAAGTACAATACTTATGTGGGCTTTTAGGTTTTTAAAATAACTGTCCATTTCACTGGGAAGTTCTATCAACCCTACGTAGAAAGGTTTGAAAAGACACCAACAAAAGCCTTCCTGCGAGGTCTTATCTGATCCTCTTCACTATCCTGGGACGGCAGGTATTTTCACCTCCATTTTACAGACAAGGATACTTAGTATCAGACTTAAGTAAACTGTTCAACTTCAGACAAACAACTAAGACTCAGAATGCTACCTTAAAAAACTTCTGATTCTAATGCTGGTATTCTTCTTGTTACAAATCAGGAGTATTCTGGTTCTCATCCTGATTAGGCTTCTCATATACTGGATAACACTGCGTGAGCAAATCCTTTCTCTGGCTTCAGTTTCGCCATCTGAAAAGCCTGGAGACTGATTGAGATGCCCTCTGCTGTGAGCCCACCTTTCAGCTCTGGCTCTAGGATGCCTGAGCCTCAAAGCCTATCTCAACCTCCTCAGAGCATTCCAAAGAACTTCTGCCCACCTGTTCACAATGATTCTGGACAAAGCTGAACCTTGGGTTTTAGGGTAAGGGTTGAGAGGTACAGTAGGAAGGGGGTTTGAGAAAGCACCCCAAGGTATTCTCAATCTATGTCACTTCAAGCCTCATACCCTGATTATCTGCTAATAAAAACCTCTGCTATAGCTCAACTCAGAAGAAAAACTATAAAATCCAATTTCTTTCACTTTCAAATACTTTGTTTTATCAAAACAATACAGATGGCTACAAACACAGCAAAAATTTTTCAACAGTGCTTCAGTAGTGTTTGGAGTCATGTAAGCTCTGCTTTCACATGAGATGATGATAATAATAAAAGCTAACATATGCTGAATACTTACTGGGTGCCATGTCTATATAAGCTCTTGACATATAACTCCTTTAATCCTTTTACAAGGGAAATACTTTGATCATCACTCCCATTTTATAGAGTCTCATAGAGATTAAGTAATGTGCTTAAAGTCTAGTTGAATGCAATATTTCAGTCATTCTCAAATTTTTTAGTCTCAAAGCCTTTTACACTTTTAAAAATTACCAGAAAACCAACAGAACTTTTACGTGGGCTATATCTATGGATAACTACCACTTAGAAGTTAAAATAGAAATTTTAGAAATACTTATTAATTCATTACAGATAATAAAAAAAAATTATATGAATAATACCGGTTAATGAAAAAACTGTATTTAAAAAAATTTGAGAGAAGAAGGGCATTCTTTCATATTTTTGCAAAGCTTTTATAGATGACAGCTGAATTTTCATATATGCTTCTGCATTTAATCTGCTGAGATAAAATCATATCATCCAGTCTCTGGAAAACTCCATTTACTCTCACAAGAAAAGGAATGTAAAAAGAGTAACTTTTGCCTTAATTTTATTGTGAAAATAATTTTAACCTTACAGATACCCTAAAAGAGTCTTAGAGACTCCAGGGCTCCCTGGACCATATTCCGAAAGCCACAGTTATACCCATTATTTTATTCATTATGTATATTGTACTTATTTATAGTGATCACTATTATTCAAAATTAAGTAATTCTTCTTAAATGAAAAAAGCCTCTTAAGACTCACACCTCTGTTCTGTAAGGCCATATGAACACATGCTTTCCAAGAGAGTTACTCACTACGTGGTCTCTCAATAGAACTGCAGAAGCGATTGCTTTCTTGGAAATGTCTATAAACCAGGGTTATTTGTGTCTACAGATGTCTGTAGATGGATATGACACACATACTCATGTGTTTCTTGGCAAGGTTATGTCCCCTCCATCTTTCAGACTGCAGCTAAAATAGCACTTTATCTAGGTCAGGCTCCCCAGCAGATGCTCCCAGGGATCCTTTGTGACTTTGCATTTATTTGATTATGTATTAGTGCCTCTCTTCCTTGCTATATGACATGTTCCACGAGGGCAGGACCAGATCTGGCTCCATTTGCCAATGTAAACCCCATACCTGAGACAGTACTCAACAAATCTTTGCTGAATGAATGAATGCTTAGTAGGCTTGTCCTCAGAGTATAAACCAGTCAACTCACTGCAAAACACACCTATATCAACAGCAAATCATTTCCTAACCTATCATGAATACTTTTTATCACTATTCACGGGCCTTCTTTAAGGAAGAAAATAAATTACCACACACTTTATAATAAATGCTTATCATATTGGATCTGCAAATGCAAACCAGAATATCAATTAGGTGTGAATCTTATTTTTTTACAAGAAATTTGATTTTCCTAATAGATGACATTTTTTCCAGTATAATTTTAATAAAAATAACCAAAATATATTCAGAGAAAAAATAGATGAGGACAAAGGCCACCCACGTTAAGTATATATGCATACTTAAATGGAAACATATCCATCAAACTAAACTACTGGAATTTGCTTAAAGTAAAACAGAAGGAACTGAGACAAAGGTTATGCAATGGAGGATCTTCTGATATAGTCTTGTTTTGTGGCAGACTGTACTCTCCAAAAATGACCACAATGTCTCCTGTCCCTCCTGTTCTTTTTTTGCAACGTGACTGGGCACTCCTATCATTAAGAGATGAAGTCTGTGTTCCCCCTCCTTAAAACTGATGGTGGGAGTGTTGTTCTGTGACTTCAAAGGTTAAGTAATAAAAGGTGATACAGCTCTTGCCCAGCTCTTGGGACATTCCCTCACGGAACATTGCCTCCATGTCACGAAGATGCCTCAGAAACCTAGAAAAAGGAAATGAGGTCACTGGCCAACAGTTCTGGCTGAGCACCCAACTAACAGCCAACATCAGCTAGCCAGCCTGAGTGAGCCATTTTCAAAGTGGAGGGGCCCAGTAGAGCCACTCCAGAAAACACTACATGGAGCAGAGAAGGAGAACAATTGACAACTGTTTTACACTATGTTCTGTAGCATCACATAACCAAGTGAGATTCGGGGACCCAGAGGTAGGGCTTTGCTTTTGGGACCAGGTGGTAGGAAGGGCTTTGAGGTGAGTATTATCTGGAAGCCTGAACGCATTGAGAAGGCTATTGGTCAGGGTTGAAAGGTAAGTTTTTAAAAACTTTCACTAGAAACTGGAAGGGGAGCCTTGTATGTACTAAAGCAAAGTTTGATAACCCTGTTATATGCATTACTGTGGGAAATGGGAAACATCCTAACAACCTAGACCTAAGGATCTAGTTAAGAACACGCTCTAGGCAGAATATTGGAAGTGTCTATGGGGTCTCCCCATTGTGATAAAATCAGGAGGGCAAAGATGTGCTAACACCTTTAATCCAAGGGAGCAGTTACAGAAATACTTCTATCCTCACAAGTTATTTCTTTATAAGCCTTGTCCAGGGAAAAACGTACAGTCCAAGCCTAAATATACTGAAATGCTCTACTCAATTTGCTACTTATTTTTCTTCTCTCTAAACCAGCAGTTCTCAACCTGTGGGTTGCGACCCACAGGAACTGTATTCAAGGGTCGCGGCATTAGGAAGGTTGAAAACCACTGCTCTAAATGGTGTGGCAGCCCTTTAATATTTTGGGAGAATCTGATCTTTTGAAGCTTTCTTGACCATGAGTGACTCTTGCCTGAGGAATTGCCTTCAATGATAGAAACATATTGTAGTGGTTAAAAGCATCAATTCTGGAGCCTGGGTTTGGCTCCTGGTACCACTTGCAACCTGCTTAATCTTGGGCAAGTCTCCTGCCAGTTTCCTTATAATAATAACACCCACCTCAAAGGCTTTACAAGTATAAAGAACTCAGAATAGTGCCAAACTCATAATATAGTATTTGGTAAGTAAGTTTTTTAAATATTTGTTGGCTCGGCGCCTATAGCTCAACCGGCTAAGGCGCCAGCCACGTACACCTAAGGTGGAGGGTTCGAATCCCCAGCCCGGACCCGCCAAAACAACAATGACAGCTGCAACCAAAAAATAGCCAGGCGTTGTGGCGGGCGCCTGTGGTCCCAGCTACTTGGGAGGCGGAGGCAGGAGACTCGCTTGAGCCCAGGAGTTGGAGGTTGCTGTGAGCATGATGCCACGGCACTCTACCCAGGGGGATAGCTTGAGGCTCTGTCTCAAAAAAAAAAAAAAAAAAAAAATTGGTAAAGAAGAAAGCCTTGGGGTAACAAAAAAAGCAGAGGGCCCCATTTTGGAAGATGAAGTTGTTGTCTCCATCTTCCTGGTGTTAACACAGTAAGAAAAGTAGGTGATAGCTTAATAGCAAAGGAGCAACTGGTAACTTATTACTGAGAAATAGTTCTGAACAAATTGATGGAACTTATATTGTGGAAATCAGAAAATGACTTGAATCAGGCAAGATGTGAGGACTTTTAACTGCATAAAAAGACACACCGTAATGAAGTGAGGGGTATCATTAGACTGTTTCTCCACAAATACACAGATTATTAACTCATCTTCCTGTGTATCTGTTTAGCTGAGTGTAAGCGGGCTAAATAATGAGTACTCACTGTAAATAATGTCGTTTATGAGATTAGCTAAAGAGCTATTTTTTTCAGGAATAGCATTAAGTAACAGAAGATTAAGACTGAAAGAGAAGTACTTATTTTTTGTTAACAGATCACTTAAAAGTATTTATTGAGCACCTACTATGTATTCCACAATGCATTTTCCCAAAGATGAAAGGGATATGGAAAGAGAAGGCAGAGAAACAGAATAAAGGGAACGAAATCAAGAAAATTGATACAAATGGGGGGTGGTGCCTGTGGCTCAGTGAGTAGGGTGCCGGCTCCATATATTGAGGGTGGTGGGTTCAAACCTGGCCCCAGTCGAACTACAACCAAAAAATAGCTGGGCGTTGTGGCGGGTGCCTGTAGTCCCAGCTACCTGGGAGTCTGACGCAGGAGACTCGCCTAAGCCCAGGAGGTGGAAGTTGCTACGAGCTGTGTGATGCCATAGCACTCTACCGGGGGCAATAAAGTGAGACTCTGTCTCTA